TCCTCAGGAAGAGCAATCAGTGCTCTTAACCACAGGGCCATCTCTCCAGTCCCAGAGGTTAACTTTCTAAAAATAAAAAGTATTCTTGCTGGAGCCTGGATCTGCATTGTGCAGTCATCTGTCTTGACAGCCAGCAGCTATGTTAACTCCGCTGCTGGACCAACAGTGAAGCCATGGGGACGGGGACCATTCACTCAAGGCCACAGCCCTCAGAAGTGCTGAGATAAAGACGTTGTACCACAGAGTCTCAGCAGAATGGCAAACATCGTATGCCTATAGGTAGCTGGATGGCAGGAGCAAAGGAACTCACATGGTATGCCCTCAACTCTCGCCCTTCACCGATGCCACCTCCTTATCCCAAAGTGGCTGAAGGAAATTCCCACACATTGTATAGCTGGTAGTCTCTCAGTGCTAGAGGCCCCGGCTGAAATCAGAATGTCCCTGCTCCCTCAGGGACACTGGAGAAGCTCTATCCCAGTGGCTTGAGACCGCTGTGGAAGGTCTCCTTCGAGACTGGACACATCTTTATCAGTCTGATAGAAGGGAGAGCATCCCTGAAGGTCCTTCCTGCTTAAACCTGTGAAGACTCATTCACCACAGAAGACAGGTCACAGGTTCAGGGCCTGTCTTTGAGGCTGTTAGTCAACCACCCTCCGACAGAGGGCCTATGGTTTTCCTCTTACAAGCTAGGAGATGGGTTCAGGGAAGTCTAGTAGACAAGGTCACACGCACAGTAAGCAGTGGTAACAGGGTTTGAACTCAGGGCCAACCCCAAAGCCCATGCTCATTTTCTGGGTCCTGTCATCTCCCCCTTAGTGCCACGTGGCCACTGGAGGTGTTCTGAGGAAGCAGTTGGTAGGGCTTAGCTCTCATGTAGAAAGAGTGAGCAGATGAGCTGTGAGCTGAGGAAAACTGCTGTCCTTTCCTCTTGGGCCCTTCCTGGGCTGTATGTAGGGGCCCAGCTGCTCTCAGGACACCTGTCCTTGGTGGCTCTTTCCTGACCAGTGTTTCTCTCGCAGGATATGGCTTGCTTTTCCTGTCACTGATGATTACACCTGTCATCCGGGCCAAGCTTTCCAAGCTGGTGAGCGAGTCGGAGCACGGTGAGTGTCAGCGTCATCTGTCCCTGGTCCCTCATGTCCAGTGTTGCCTGGATGGGCAGTTCTGGCCAAAGAGGGTCTGCCTTCTACCCTCTAACCTGCAGGAGTGAGCAGGCAAGACATATGCTCTTCTGCCACGTGCTCAGAGCTGGCTAGGGACCGATGCTGTGGGGTTTTGTTCCTCAGAACTAAGATTGCTATCGGTAGAGCACAATCCAGTTCTGAGTAACCACAGCAGCACAGCAGAGCCTATCTCTTCAGAGCTCGTCTTTCCCATCTGTGAAGTGGGTGTGATGATGCCAGGGTTTCCTGCCATGCTGGGGTCAGAGGATGCAGGCCCAGAGGGAATAAACAGCCTCTGCCAGAGATTTCGTTGTTCCCAGTTGTCAGATGAAGAAAGGGAGGCCTAGAGGGTTAAACTGAGTTCTTCAAGGTTGTTCAGTAAACAATTGGACAGGGATGCGTGCGTGCATATGTTTATGTGTTCACATGTATGTGACTTCAGTGTCTTGAGGAACATGGAGTCTTTGACTTGGGCAGTCTAGCTAACTACTTGCCTTGTTGATTTCCTGTCTCCACCTCTCAAGCCCTGAGATTACAGGTGCCCACCACACCCACCTAACTTTCATGTGGTTAAGGGCATCCGAACTCTGGTCCTCATGGTAGCATAGGTGTTTCATCCACTCACCCAGCTAGACACACACACATACACACCCTTCCCCGCGCACACCTCTGTTCCATATGTTTTTAAGAGCACTTGGTCTTGTAGCTGGGCTCCAGCCCTGGCTTGTTCTGGACCTGTTTCTTCATCTGTGACATGAGGCCTTTATTTCCCAGGACACTGTAGACCCTTAGAGTCTGGCAGCTGAATCTCTGTATCTATTGTGTTGTTGCTCAGTTTGCAACAACTGGGTTACAAAGCTGGGTTCTGGCACAGGCTCGGGTGTCTGCTAAAATGCCTCATTCATTCAATATACTTTTGCTTTTGTTTATTTTGAAACAGGATCTTCTTGCTAAGTAGCCCAAGCTGGCCTTGAAGTAAAATCCTCCTGCCTCAGCTTCCCAAGAGCTGGCATTACAGTCGCGTTTCACCATGTTTGCAGGCAGTGGATCTTTCCCACCCAGCAGGTTTCACTGTGTACCCACTATGGGAAAATAGCAGGCCCCTCTCGGAGGCCACCCGTGATAGGTACTCTCCATTTTAAAATTATTGGCAGTCCACGCAGTAGCTCTTGTCCTTCATACACAGAAGGCGGCGCAGCGACCCAGATAGTTCAGCGCCTCAGCAATCGCATGGCTGTGAGTGTGGAACATGGGATCAAATGACGCTTCAGGAGGGGAAGCCGGCAAGCTCTCATAGACATCACGTGTAGCTCGGAAAGACTCGGCAGGCTTTCAAGCTCTTGCCACCGCACGTGATGACCCGAGCTCGCTATCTAGGGCCCACGTCGCAGAAGAGAGCCAGCTGCTGAAAGTTGTTCTCTGACCACCACACACATGCCTGGCACAAGCGACGTGAACGTAATAACACGTTTTTTAAAGAAGCTTTCATGGTGGTACAGCCTTGTCTCGAGGCTGAGACAGGAGGACTGCAAGTTTAAGGGCAACCCGAGACCATTTCTTAAAACAAACCAAGCTGGGGCTGTGGAGATGGTTCGGCATTTAATAACACTGGCTGCCCTTGCACCAGGCATGCACATGGCACGGAGGCACACATGCAGGCAGAGCACCCATACACATTAAATAAAGTAGGGTTTTTGAAGTAGGAGGCACCACGCGGGCTTTTCTGTGAATTTAATAACAGTTGACAGCTATGTGTCTAACAGCCCCTCTGCCAGGCACTTCCCGTGTGTAACGTCATAGAGTCTTTACCACACCACAGAGTGGGAGGCACAGGTGAGGGAGGCCAGGTGTCCCGCCCAGGTCACACAGCTGTGAGGTGGCACTGCCCTCCCTTGACCCTGGGTTTTTCCAGCTCTGAAGCATGGTGTCTCTTCCCTCCCAGGTGCTCTCTTTTCTGCGGTGGCCTGTGTGAACAGCTTGGCCATGTTGGTGGCCTCTAGCGTCTTCAACTCGCTCTACCCAGCCACTCTGAACTTCATGAAGGGCTTCCCCTTCCTCCTGGGAGCTGGCCTCCTCTTCATCCCGGCCATTCTGATTGGGTAATGGAGGGCCCTGACCTTGCCTGCTCATCATGGTGTCTTAATTTCCGAGAGGTTTCCTCCTTCCCCCGCTCCTAACTGAAAATGGCAGCTTTGCCTCTGGAATCCTTGTCCTTTGGGTATGGCATCCAGGGCTGACCCTACCCCATGCAGGTGGCTGGCTGATCTTTTAGGAGCCATCTCCAGAGTAAGGTAGGGCCATGTGGTGAGGGGCCCGGCTAACACTACTGTTTGACAAGGCTGCGTCCTCTCCCTCAGGCCCCTCAGCCTGCCCCATCCTCGAACTGTGTTAACAGAAAGAAAAGAAAACTCACTCGGCTACTTGTGGCTGAGCCGCAGGCTAGACTGACCCACTGAAGTCGTTAGAGTTCTTCTCCAGAGTCCTCTGCCTATGGACATTGTCCTGTGCCTGTTGGCTTGGGAAGGGACACACCTGGAGCTGCTCACCCAAGTCAGTCCCATGTCACCTCTCTAGAATGGGCTTATCCTGAACCATCTCTCTGGTCTCTCACAGGGTACTGGAGAAAGCTATTCCACATCCTGAATTCCAGCAGTTTCCGCAGAGTTCCTGATCCGCTCAAGACCATGGAACAGTGGACCCGCACCAGCCAGCCCTCTGAGGGTGGTACTCACTTAGGACAGGGTAGTCAAGCCAGTGATGGGCATCACCTGGTCTCCCACTGAGCCAGTCCCTGTATAGGATCTATAGTCTGACCAGGATACACCCACTCAGGGCAGGCTGCAGGGAGCCGTTTGAGGCAGGATTTGTCCTCCCCTCCCCCCCTTTTAAGCTATTTGTAATTCAGAAGCCTCCAAAATGAAGGAGACAGCACTTCAGGGACCAACTGAAGCATGGGGACCGACCTCTCCTTCCAGCCCATGGGACTAGGTCCATGATGAGTGCTGTGGCCTCCAGTCACCCCTAATGATAAGTGTGGTACCTGTGGGGAGACTTGGCCCCAGAGGGAGAAGCACTGTCTGTGGATGGGAATCAGCCCTTGACCTCAGCCTGTCCACTGTGACCTCAGCCTGTTCACCTTTGACCTCAGCCTGTCCACCGTGACCTCAGCCTGTTCACTCTTGACCCCAGCCTATCCACCCTTGACCTCAGCCTGTCCACCCTTGACCTCAGCCTGTCCACCCTTGACCTCAGCCTGTCCACCCTTGACCTCAGCCTGTTCACCATGACCTCAGCCTGTCCACCTTTGACCTCAGCCTGTTCACCCTTGACCTCAGCCTGTCCACCCTTGACCTCAGCCTGTTCACCGTGACCTCAGCCTGTTCATCCTTGACCTCAGCCTGTCCACCCTTGACCTCAGCCTGTTCACCGTGACCTCAGCCTGTTCACCTTTGACCTTAGCCTGCCCACCCTTGACCTCAGCCTGTCCACCCTTGACCTCAGCCCATCCACCCTTGACCTCAGCCTGTCCACCGTGACCTCAGCCTATTCACCCTTGACCTCAGCCTGTTCACCTTTGACCTCAGCCTGTTCACCTTTGACCTCACCCCACACTTGACCTCAGCCTGTTCACCTTTGACCTCAGCTATGTCAGTTGTCACAGTAAATCATTTGAGTCAGACTGAAGAGTCACTGGGCTTTGGGGCTTTCTGTCTTCCCGCTCTCGGCCTGTTTGGCACAGGTCAGACACAAGCAGCTGCTGGGCTGGAGTTCCTGAGCTGCCTGCAGGGATAGTCCCAGGCATGTCCCTTAGAGCTCCAGCTCTCTAAGGTGCTGAGGGGTGAAGGGCTTGTGAGACATTTTCAGAGCAGCGGTGACACTTGGGCCCCAGCCCTGGCTGCTCCTTCCTGTGGGTCTATTGAGTCACTACCCCGCTGGCTTCATGGCTCCACCAGCCCCAGCAAGATCACTTTTGGCTGCCATTTAGCCCTCCATGTAGTTCAGTGCTGAGCAAGGCCCCTGAGCTGCAGCGGTGTCCATTCCTGCCTCACTGCCCCTCTAAGGCCCCCTGAACTGCAGCGGGGTCCACTCCTGCCTCACTGCCCCTTTGGAGGTGGGAACTCAGCAAGAAGAGGCCTTCTACTGACCCCACCACTGTGAGGAGGGAAAGGCTCCACTCTGGCACCTTGACCTCGAATAAAGAAAGCTGGGTCGGCTTTCCACCCAAACTGTCTGGTTACAAGGGCCCCTGTAATTGCATGTGTTAGGAAGCACAGCGGTCGGATGCTCTGGATCCCTCCATCTCCCTGCACCCCAGGATGAGATGCCTAGTGATGAGATGACGCACTGTGGCTGGATGTTTACCCTCTTAATGTCGCCCACTAGAGAGGGGTAGGGGTGTAGTGTAGTGACCAGCCTGACTCAGCCCCAGCTTGGGGTAACAGCTATATAGCCCGGCCAGGCAGAAAACACTGCACCCACAGACCGTGCAAACCTGGGCAGCCTGAAAGGCTACTGAAGAGCCCGTCTTGAGGTCAGTGTGGTCAGCCTTGCTTAGCTCTGCCTGCAGTCTGAGCTGTGTCACCACAGAGCAGAGTACCTCGCTAGAGGAGGCTTGGCACTGCTACCCTGACTGGGGCAGAAGGCTGTGCTCTGGTTCCCCAGGAAGACGGGAGGGGACAGGTCAACAGAAGGCCAGACAATGGAGGTAGTAGTGACCTGTGTCCCAAATAAGAAAACCCAGAAACTTCTTGAGTGCTGCCCACGGGGCCCTCTGGAAAGTGTGGACTGGAGATAGGTAGGTTTCCCGGGAGGAACTCATATACTGTATCGTTATTGACTTCGTCATCAAGGGTACCATTCCATCTGCCTCACCTCAGAACAGGGTGTGGGGTTGGCACTGGTGGCAGGACCAGGACTACAGATAGTCACAGCCAGAGGCCAGCCATGACCCATGGACGATGGGGTCTTTGGCAGGAAGGACAGTCAAGGAAGGTGTCCCTAAGCCTGGAGAGAAAGCCCTTTGGCTCTCTGACAGTGGGGACTGAGGGAAAGTAACCTGGCCAGCTTCTGGAGAAGTGTGTGACCCCACTGCCTCCAGAGGTCAGCAGCGGGGTGATGCCAGCTGACTCCAGCTGGAGGCTGGGTATTGGCAAGAGCCAATGGGCTGGACACTGGTGCTGGGTGTCAGGACTAGGGCAGAATCTGAGGCTGCCACCACTGATTTGGGGACCTGGGCCTATCACTCAGCCATTCCTCTCTGTAAAACTGGGGTGACCGGATTGGAAAAGGCTCCAGGGAGGGTTAGGAACCAGACTGGGGTGTTTGGAACGTGACAGGGGCTGGTGAGGACCTTGCATGAGCTCCCGTGGGAATCTGCAGATGGCAGCGGCTCAGGAACTTCCCGGATGGCTTGCTCTGTGTTTTGATAAGATTCCCAGTGGATGTGGACACACTTCTGTGAGAGAGACGGCCCCAGGAACTGGCCCTTGTCTGCAGAGGTCTTGCCTCTTTCCCAGGGTGCATGCTCTGCCCTGGCTACTGGTTCTGCTGAAGCTTCTCCAGTCTCCTCTTAGCCCTGTGTGGATGAGGAGCTGGAGAAGCCAGGTAGATCAGGCTAGGCAAGAGCCTTAGGCACAGCACAGAGGTTTGGGCTAGGGTGGATTCTTACAGTCTCCCTGAACAAGTAAGGGTCCTTTCTTGCACCAGAAAGGGCAGCAAGGCCAGGCAGAGGGCCAGTTCAGATGGACTCTGACTCCCAGTATGGCAAAGGAGGCTGCCTAAAGAAATCTGGCAGGGGTACCAAGTAGTTACAGAGCAAGGCCATGAGGCAGCAGGAATCCAGGTGAGCCAGGGGCCAGGCACAATGTGAGTAGACAGCCTTTGGGGGATCCTCAACCCCAGATGCCTCCTGGGCCCAAATAGAGGGCCTAGGCATTGTCCTGATTCCTGCCAGGACCTGCCAAGCTCACCCTACTCGAGCTGGCTGCTCTTGGGCAGGAGACCAGAGATGCTACCTTGAGTGTCCAGAACTAAGCGGGGGCATGGGACCTGCCAAGCTCACCCTACTCGAGCTGGCTGCTCTTGGGCAGGAGACCAGAGATGCTACCTTGAGTGTCCAGAACTAAGCGGGGGCATGGGATGTTGGAACCTGAAGGCAGGGCCTGACAGAGGAGTCGTCTCATTTAACCCCGTGCCTGGCATCTCTGGGTTAGAAGTGGGCCACTGGGGGGCAGCAGGGAAAGCCATTTCCTGAGAAGGGTCTGGTTTGCCTCAGCCCAGGGCGGCTCTAGAGGAGCTATTCCTTTAAGGGTGGGGAGATAATGGAACCAGGGGTCACTGCAGGGTGTGGGAACTGGGGACAGGCTAAGGCAGATCCATTGGTGCAGTTCCCTCCAGACTGGTGTCAGAGCCGGCAGAGGAGTCCTGAGAGGGGCGGCCCTGAAGGAAGCGGATGATTTTCTCGATGGTGGCCTCCTGGTACTCATGGGACCATCTGTGGACACAGGTCAAATGGGTTAGAGGGTGGGCAGGGGCTGCTGTGGGCCAGCGCCATTTTCTACACATACATACACACACACACACACACACACACACACACACACACACACACACACAGCTCCTTAACTCTCCCTGGGTCTTACTTGATGCCATTGAAAGTAAGCACAGCCTGCATGTCCTCAGGCAGTGCCTGGGGCTCGGGCCACTCAAAGCCATCAATGATGGGCACAATGTTCTTGCCACAGCTTAAAGCAGTCACAATCTCCTGGGAAAAGAAGTAGAAAGAGACTGTTGTGGTTTGATCTTGAATAACCCCTGCGAAGCTCATGTCTTGGATGTTCAGTCCCCAGCAGACGATGCTGTTGGGAATTGGTGAAGATGTCAGGAGCGGGAACTAATTGCATAAAGTAGGTCATGGGGGGGCAGGGAGGTGTATCCCTAGAAAGGTACCCTGCGCTTTTCCCCCCTCTGGGGCCACCATGAATGTTCTACTTCACAGCAGGACTCAAGGCAGCAGAGCAAAGTGACCATGGACCAAAAGCTCAGCATCCATGGACGACAGTAAATCTTCCCTTTCCTGTTGACTGTCCTGGATGTTTGTCATGTGATGGAGATCTAACCGACACAAGACCTCCATCCCACCCAACAGCCCTGAGGTCACCTCAAGTGAGAGCACCCCTGGTTTAAGACCCTCTGCAACGTACCCTGGCTGCTCTCAGCTTTCACGGTAATTTATAAACCGTGTGTCTTTATCCCGGGACAGGCGTGCCTAGAGCGCCTAAAACTACTGGAGTCTCCTGAGTGTAATTTTTCTATTGCCATGATCCTAGCCAGAGTTTGGATGGGGGAAGTGGCCTAGAAAATTCCTGATGGGGGTTGGGTATCAGAAAGACCAACCACAGCACAGGGCTTAGGACTTCTGAGGTCCACCCACTTTTCAGGAGGGGCTGCAGGATGAGTTCAGTGCCAGTAGCGACAATTTCATCAGCCGTGCCTCTGTCTAAAACCTCCACAAGATCCCCTCATGAGTGGGGGCTGAAGAGCTTCCAGGGTGGTTCATAGATCATGCGGTTGGAACTCAGCAAACACCAAGGTTCTACCACTCTGATCTCTCATCTTGCCTCTCTTCCTGAGACCGTTGCTCTCCCACCTAGATCCACTCACGGCTTTGGTCTAAGCTCAATCAGTACTTCCCCAAGGAACCTGCCTGAACATCCCGATCAAGTCAGCTCTCCCGTGCGGGTTCCCATCGGCTCTGCAGCAAACTTCAACTAATTCAGTTCGGGGGTGATTTAATTGAAGCTTCTTCTCCCTGGTGTCACAAGGTGACTAAGGGCAGGGGCCATGCCTGGTTCTCATTAACCATACTTCTTGGCATCTTTCACAAAGCCCCGCCCACAGTCAGCCCTTCTTGAGTACTGACTGGATGGATGAATGCTTGAAGCGATACACATAGTATTTGGGGGCTGTATTCCGAAATAAAAAAAATCCAGGTTCATTTTGATTGTTAATTTTGATTGTTGACTTTTTTGGATTTAAAAAAAAAGTTGAAGGGGAGTGGGGAAAATGTATAGCTCAATAAAAACAAAAAACAAAACAAAACAAAATTACCCAGAAGGTCCAAGGTCAGCCTGGTTTACAGAGTGAGTTCCAGAACAGTCAGAGCTGTTACACAGAGAAACCCTGTCTCAAGAAACCAAACAACCAAACAAGCAAAAACCCCAGAGAGCCAGTGAGATGGTTCGACAGGTAAAGATGCTTGCCACAAAGCCTGACAACCTGGGATCAGTCCCTTCCATGGTGGAAGGAAAGAACTGATTCTTATGGGTTGTTCCCCATTTCCTCATTGTGCTGTGTTACATGCACTCGTGTGCATGTGCATGTGTGTGCACGCGTGCTCTCTCTCTCTCNGCCTCTGTGACAGCCTGCAGCAATGCCTCCGTGACAAACTGCAGCAATGCCTCTGTGACGGCCTGCAGCAATGCCTCCATAACAAACTGCAGCAATGCCTCCATGACAGCCTGCAGCAATGTTTCCATGACAGCCTGCTGAAATGATGGAGCTCCTTCCTATAGAGAGCAGGGCTCTTGCCAGCTCAGCAGGGTCTCCTCACTCCACTACCTTCTCAGGACTATCCCAAGCTCTTCTTCATTCCATTTATTTGTTTCATATGTGTGTCTGTTCATGTGTGTGCAGGTAAATGTAAGTGTTTGGGGGGGGGGGGGGGAGCCAGATGGATGTCACGCCCTCTGCCTCCTGCTCCAAAGGTGAGAGCTAGAATTCTCCCCCAGCGACTGAAGTCTTGGCTTTCCTTATCACAATGGAGGTCGCCCCTGCTTTGTCAGCTACAATAAACCCTTCCTCCCCGGAGCTCCCTCCTGTCCAGTGTTTGGTTACAACCTCAAAAGAAATAAGGACTGTGTGGGGTCTCCGACACAGGCTTTGCGACCCAAGGCTAGGATAATGGGCTGTCAAAGTCGGTTTTCCAATATGGAGCACGGGGTTAATGCCAGGCAGTGATCTTACAGGGTTGTTGGGTAGAATAATGGCAACGCTCCACAGCAAGTGAGTAGAGCAGGGGCTAGCTCTTAAAACTGCATATTTAAGGAGCAGTGGGGTGTGGTGGCTCAGGTCTGTAATCCTAGCACAAGTGAAGGCTAAGGTGGGGGGGATTGTGAATTTGGGGCTAGTCTGGGGTATACATAGCTATACCCTATCTCCAAAAAGGGAAAAATAATTTTTTTAAAAAAGGAAATAATGGGTTCCTTCTCTGTAAAGTACAGAGGTAAAACCTGCCCCACAGACTGTTCAGGGACATTATTCACCGTTAATAGTGATCTGGTAAGCACTTACCAAATGGGTTCTGCCTTTCAAGTCCCATCAGGGATGGGACTTTTTTAAGTGCAGTTCACTTGTGGGTTTGTGTATTGATTAGCCACTAAATGTGGCTTCCGGGAAGGGAGTATGAAAACCAGAGACAATTAGGCCCCACAAGCAACCCAAGAGAATGACAGAGGCTTTGGGACAAAATCCAAGGAGTAAGCCATGCCAGCTGCCTGGATGCTCCACCCTCTGCAGGCTCAGTGGTGGAGCCTGGGAAGAGAGCTATGGGCTTTCACATAGACTGTGCTCCTGGAGCCTCATCATCGTAAGAAAACGGGGAGGGAAGCCAAGAACTGAAGGTGCTTCCTCCCAAGCCCCTCAATCATGCAGCCCGGGAGGACTCCAGGCCTTCAGAGTTCAAGCACATCCAGGGTTGTGTCGTCCAAGCCTGGCTGCCTCTCCTAAGCATCTGGGTGAGACCTTTAATCCCAGCACTCAGGGAGGCAGAGGCAGAGGCAGAGGCAGGAGAATCTCTGTGAGCTCAAGGCCAGCTTGGTCTACAAAGCGAGTTCCAGGGCAGTCAGAGATATACAAAGAATCCCTGTTTTAAATAACCAAAAAAAAAAAAAAAAACCCAAAAAAA